GAAAACACCATCAATCACGATTTTTTTTCCGAAAAAGAAAGCGCCACTCAATTTCTCAATCTGCCGCGTTTATTCACGTATAGATTTATCTTTCGACGGTGCCAAATCCGAACGATATATCGGATTATTAATTAACAGTGACATTATTTGCAAACCATCAACGAATTTGTTTCCCCCGATTCCACCCCATCCACGTAACGCACCCCCGCTTGGGGACACAAGTCAATCTTGTCGACCTGCTATAAATTTTTGGTTGCAGTCCGAGTGTGTTCGTCGGATATTTCCATTTTGCCGAAGTGTTCCTGCAATTATTCAGGGAAGATCGATGCGAGACTAACGTAATAAAAGCTGCGCAAATCGGATATACGGTTGCTTAATAAGTAAATATCCATTTAAGTCCTTGAAACTTGTCCAAATCCGTCAATAAATAATAAACGAGATGCATATTCAGTTGGTCTTTTACCCACAGACGTTGGAAGAGTGATACCTTACTAATCTCTTTGCTCTTAGCGAAATTACGGGTACTAATCCTAATATTTTATTAACAGGGGTATATTCTATCTGATGTTTAAAGTTGTGACAATATATCTAGTATGGCCTAAAGCGGTACGTACTAAGGAAAGTTATAAGGATCAGGTGTGGGGAGACCTGGGGGCCGATACGTTATTGGATTAACGTGTCAGCGGTGATGAAGTAGGCGTTGCGGCTCTTTCCGGAGTCCTTCGGGCCCTTCTTTAACCAAAAGCAAGGGCTCGCGACCCTCATTTTGCTACCTACAAATGTACACTATTTGGCATACAATCTTGTCAGCACTAAAAGTATTTCACTTCGATACAATGACGGATGAAAAACCATGGAAGAGCGCCCTTATCTCGTTCGAGAAGTTTGCTCTTTGTCTTAACGTTAGAATAACGTTTCCTGCCGTCTAAGCAACCTTTTCATCTATAAAATCTTCCAACTTTTATAGCTGACAATTTAATGTCTTATGGAATGGGCGAGCAAACCTTCTACTTCTCTAAAGTGAGAGATTAAAATTTTATGATCTCTAAATAAAATCTTCGTTTGTCTTTTCCGATTATTTTACGTTTATTTAAACAATACTCGTCTGTTGGCAGAATGGTGTAAACAATCTACATGTGCAAACAAGAGAAGGGGACTATATAATCTATTTCGGGTAATTTACTTTAGTAATAACTGAAATTAATTTCCCTAATTATAACTTACGCAGGCAATATACATTCAATCTGGCTTCCGGCAAGACGAATTACAATGAGAAAAAGCGCTTTGCTTCTATTAAATACCAGGTGGGAAACTGGCAGCTCTTTAAGTGCGTACTTACTACCTACATTTATTATTGTGTAGATAAAGGCAAATCACCATGGGCACAACCAGTACCTAAGAATTGATTAGCATATCCCTATGTGTTATTACTGACACGTCTCACAGTATGCAATTTCTCAAAACAATATATAGCAATCTATTGTTAAATTCCGCAATATTTTTAAATGGCTTAAGCTTCTTTCAACAGTTTTCAAAGAACAATAAAATACATCAGCGTGAATTAATGAATAAGGGTAGATCTACTATTACCAACCTGCATATTATTTTGTAGAAAGCGCTGGATGGTAATGTGCAAATGGGTTTCATCTACTTGAACTTCTTTGGGGCATTTGAGAAAGTGAACCATCGCACATAATATAGTCGCGGCTAAAATCTGAGAAAAGCTTTCCGTTTCAATGCTAGACGCATTTCATGTAACAATTGAGTTCAAACCGTTACCCCTCTATTTCGACCCCGCTGAATCCGAAAATTTCATTTGCTAACTCGAAATTCCAACAGGAAGTGAGTTATTCGAAATCGCATCCAAAATAGCACCCAATTTAAGAGTTTTTTCTGCTTTTAGTAGCATATATGCGATCCAGGTGTCTATTGCTATGTTTTCGGGGGCGTACAACACAATTAAACACTTAAAAATAAATTTGGTGCATTAAAACACAATTAAAATGGCATATTTTAACGAAAATTCAACAAAAGTCAAGTGTAAAGGTTCCGAACGCTTTCTCTTTCTCTTCTATTTTTGTGGTACTGCAGACATACAAATATATCATATTACAACACAAATGCATGATTCAAGGTAGCACTTGCCTTATTTGTAAAAATTCAGTAAACAATGTTGACGAAGTGTTCATCATACCTAATTTTGTACTTAAAATGCGAAAACCTTTTATTTTTACGGAAAACCCCTATCCTCTGTGTTGTATTTTATGTCACAGTAGGCATCTGTCATGAGAGATTTTGAAATGTAATATTTATTATAAAATGTGTTCTAAGTATTTCTTGTAATTATTCGTAACAAGATACAACATGGCGAGGCAGTTAGTTTATTAAACTGAGCAAAGTTTTCAAGAAGTATAGGTTCCGAAACATCAAATAAGTGTATTGTTGAACAGCTGAACCTAATTATAAGAAGAAAAGCCGAAATGAAATTCAAACCTCCAGCTAATTTGTCACTACAGGGAAATTTAAGTGAAAACTGGCGTAAATTTAAACAAAATTTTGAAATTTACCTGAAAGCTTCCGATAAGTCAACAAAGGCCGATGAAACAAAAATAGCCATTCTATTAAATATAATTGGTGAAGATGCTGTGGAAGTATACAACACCTTTACATTGTCCGAAACTGACATGGTGTCATTTCCAGTATTAAAAGCTTTCGATGGCCATTGTAGTCCCAAGAAAAATATCGTGTTTGAGCGTTTTAAATTTTATAGTAGAGTGCAGCAAGAAGGAGAAGGGTTTGATCAGTTCTTAACTGATATCAAGAAATTATCGAAAGTTCCTGCGAATTTGGATTATTAAGTGATGAGATGGTCCGGGACAGAATTGTTTTAGGGATTTACGACAAGGTCATTCAGGAAAGATTGTTACGAGTGGAGGATCTTGATTTTGGCAAAGGCTGTGAATTATGTCGAGCTGCAGAAATTTCAAAATCTCAGGCTTAGAAATTTGCAAGGGGCTTCAGTCGAAGTTGAGGTCATTAAGAAAAAGTCAGCAAAACCGAAATTATAAGTCTGGTTTCCAAAACCAGTGGTGACAGGTTTTGAATGTAGAAATGTCAGACTGTTCATGGCGTTCGTGAATGTCCTGCCTTTGGAGAAGCTGCAATAAATGTGCGACAGTTAAATCCATTTTGCAGTTTCCTGTCAAGTAAAAAATGTTGAAGGTGCTACAAGAACAGAATGAGCAACCTGACGAATTGGTGTTCACCATTAACAGCATTGGGGTAAGAAATCAGACAAAAAGGTTTTGTCAATTAAGTCATGGTTTCAAAATGTGAACGTTGGTGATCATGTGCCTATTAAATTTAAACTAGACACTGGTGCAGATGTGAAATGTCCTGTCGCGTAAAATGTTAAGTGAAGTAGGTGTTCCAGAGTCTCAGTTACAAAATACAAACATAATTTTGGAGGCATTTGGTGGTACTGTCTTAAAACCTCTTGGCATTGTTAGCGCATTTTTGCAAAAATTTTTTTTGTAAAAAGTAGCTTTAATCTCACTTTGGCTGGCCTGGCTGGCTGGCTGGGCTGGCTGGCTGGCTGGTTGGCTGGCTGGTCGGCTGGCTGGCTGGCTGGCTGGCAGTAATGCGCGCCCGTAGAAAAACGCTTGTAAAAAGACAAGGAGTGTACATGTAACTATCGGGGCCGTGTATTAAGAACGTTAGGGATGGGGCTACAGATTTGGAGTCGACGACATCTGGACGCCATCCCGAGCGTATTATACTAACCTGGAGAGATTTTTTCAGTTTTTATCTATTCTTCTTCTACAGTTTTTCTCCGATTGTTTTCAAAATTGGTGTCGTCGGGAAGATCTTTGTCAACGCGCACAACTCCTGCGTGGTGGAATTTTGTTTTTTTTCCTAGGGGCGAAATAAACCACCTTTTGCGCGGCGCGCTTCGAGGGTAGTCGACTTTGGGCGCCCAAAAGTTTCTTACAACGCGAATCGCGTCTCTCTTTCTCGTGTCACTAATAGAAGGTCTAGCTATGTGAAGTACCCAAAAGTTGAATACGATTTTTATGCCGGGATTTTAGCGAAATCTACCAAAAATGTGAATTACGAATGAACGGGACGTCGGAACTGTGTATCGACAAGGGAATGTGGTAACCCCGACGAGATCTTACTGATGGTGGAGTCAAAACTTCAAACGCGAATTGCGAGTGCACGGTAAGCTGAGAAAATGTACCGACAAAGTGAACGTGGTAGCTTTCGGCAAGATCTTATTGATGGTGGATCAATATTTGGCTAATAAAACACTGATCTGCCACACAAAAATGCGCTGAAGTCCCTTCGATCTCACACGAGGACTTTGATCATTGTTCCACTAAAAGTTCAGTGTAACCGTTGAATTTACTGATAACTTCATAATTGTAGACAAAATTGTTTCTCCGTTATTAGGACTTGAGTCTTGTATTAAGTTAAATCTTATTGCACGCAAAGTAGATGCCTTGGGTAAGTTTATGACTAAGGATGAATTTATTAAGAATAATCTAGAATTATTTCAAGGTCTGGGTAAGTTTAGGAATAAATGTGAAATCCAAACAATGAAGCCATACCGGTCATTAACCCTCCTAGAAGGGTACCATTTGCTATTCGCGACAAATTAAAGGAAACCTTGATATCCTAGAAAATAGAAAAATTATTTCAAAAGTTGATAAACCGTCTGGTTGGGTTAATAATATCGTGATTGTTGAAAAGAAGGATGGCTCCTTAAGACTTTGTTTGGATCCTCGTGATTTAAATTTAGAAATTAAAAGACCTGCATATGTCCTTATTCCAACTCTTCAAGATATAATTGGAAACCTTAAAGGAAAAAAGTTTTTACAGTGCTCGATTTAAAGGAAGGTTTTTGGCATGTAGAACTTACTGAAAAGTCTAGTGATCTTTGTACATTTGCTACGCATTTTGGTTGTTACAAATTTAATCGTTTGCCTTTTGGGCTTAATATGGCGCCAGAATATTTTCAAGCCATTAATGAAAGAATCTTTGGAAACTTGAAGGGTGTTCAAGTGTACATTGATGATCTCTTGATAGCTGCCGATTCCTCCGAGGAACACGATCGAATTTTAAATTCCGTGATCATAAGAGCTACTGCAAAAGGAGTTAAATTTAATTATAAGTTTCAAGCAGAATTATCTGTCGAAGATGGCTTGTTATTTTTAACCCACCGATTAATAGTCCCGGATAAACTTAGATTCTATATTTTACGGCTTCTTCATGAACCTCATTTTGGTACTGTTAAGACCAAACAACGTGCTAGACAAATTGTATTTTGGCCAGGCATGTCAAGCAACATACAGAAAATGATATCTGATTGTTATGTTTGTGAACGTTACCAAAATGCTAAACAAAGGGATTTATTGATTCCACATGAGATACCAAATATACCATTTTATAAAATAACTTGTGATATAATGGATTATGCAGGTAATAGCTATCTTATTGTACAAGATTATTTCTCGAAATGGCTCGAGATCATTCTATTAAAAAACAAAACCTCATCAGAAATTATTAAACACCTCAAAATATTGTTCGCGACGTTTGGTATTCCCAACACAGTAATTTGTGACAATATGCCTTTTTCTTCCTTTGAATGCAAGAACTTTTCCAAAGAGTGGAATTTCCAGTTTTGCACAAGTTCTCCTAAATATCCACGCAGTAATGGTCAAGCAGAATGTGCAGTTCAAACTTGTGTGTTCAAGAAATGTTCTCACGACAATATTGACCTCGCATTATTGGAGTTTAGAAATACTCCCGTTTCGGGTATTGGTATATCGCCAAGTCAAATGCTCATGAATAGACTAACCAGAACCAAGCTTCCTATTCACACACAATTACTAAAACCCGCAATTCCTAAAGATGCACATAAAAAACTTTTAGCCAAACAGGAATATTTTAAACGAAATCACGATAAAAGTGCCAAAACTTTTAACCAAAATTTGAAAGCAGGTGATAATGTTCTTATAAAAGATCAGTTTTGGGAAAAAGGACAAGTAGTTGGTAATCATTCCACTCCTAGATCTTTTAATGTAATTAATAATAAGAACAATGTTGTTAGAAGAAACTTTAGCCAACTAAAACCAACTAATACAAAATTTGACATTAACAACTCATCAAACTGCTCAAATGATAACTTAGAAACTATTAACAATCAAACCACCATTGAAATTGATTCTACAAATGACCTAATTCCTGATTCTAATATTAAACAAACTGTTACACACAGTGGTCGGATTGTTAAATTACCGAATAAGTTTAAAGATTATTTTATGTAATCTCATAATAACGTTTTGTTTTAAGTTTGTTGTGATTTGTTTGTTTTAGAAAAAAAAGGAAGATGTTGTATTTTATGTCAGAGTAGGCATCTGTCATGAGAGATTTTGAAATGTAATATTTATTATAAAATGTGTTCTAAGTATTTCTTGTAATTATTCGTAACAAGATACAACACTCTGTTGACCAATTGATTCCACTCCGCAAAATAAGGGTAGTTTAAATGAACAGATGTTTGTATGAAGGGGGTAAATAGAAAATTTGTACAGCTATTGTAGTATTTTTAATTATTACTTGTCTTTGATTTAAAAGAACCGTCAAGAAACAAATACTATCCTAGTTATCATGGATTTGATGTATAATAGAACTATACAGATCCTACAATCCAGTAGCTGGAGGGTATTCATTAAAAATAAAATAGGTTTTCGCCCTAAGGCAAGTAACTTTAGCGCATTTTCCATCCATTCGAATGCAAAATCAACGAATTAAATATCTTCAAACTGTAGGGGTATAGATAATGCCTAGGACGGAAAGACGAATAAAATGGCCATAATAGCACCATCCTCCGACATGGGTTGAAAAATGCACCAGAAAAAAGTTAAGCCTTCGCAATTTCGAATCTGTGAAATTTGACATGCAGTCCTGAACACTTTGTATAAATTGTTTGAACTCTTAATAAGTAAGGTCAACTCCTTATTTAAGCAAATCCAAAAAATAATGACTGCTTTATGTTTGCTTTATAAAAGGTAATTTATTTACTGAAGGAGTATCAATTCCAAAAATTTCTAAAAATGTACCAAATGTAGTCCATATTTCGCGTAGATTTAAAAAATGAAGTTAGAGTATACCATTTAAACTCGATTTAAAATACTTTCGGTAAAAGCGAATGTCCTATGAAATTGAAAATATGTTTGCAGTTGGACCTCCTGTCCGTCCCCTCTGTATACCTGGAAGTAGGGAATGCAATCCCGCAGCAAAATCTCAATCACGGTATTTGCAGGATTGTTAGATGTTAATCCCGCGGGATCCCGGTATTTGCGGGATTCCGCAAAACTTTAAATAAATTTGCAAATAAGCAATTCTGTGCGGTTAACTTCTGTACTAAAATAAATCGCTAATTATCACAATATTTAACAAAAAATTACCTTCAGCCTAACTTAGAACTAAAAAAAAAGGTGAACTTCTAAAGTGCCTCAAAAATCATAGTACATTTTTAACGAAAAAATTTTAACAATTATTTAAAAATTAACATTTCAGTTATGCGTTTCATTAACAAAGTACACAGAGTCGTCCCCTTGATCGCCAAATTCCTCAGTCCCGCAAATCCCGCGGGATCCCGCTCCATTTATGTGCGGGATTAATCCCGCAACGGTATTTCGGGATCCCGCGATCCCGGTATTGCATTCCCTAGTTACAGCCCTTTGAATTTTCTTTCGAAATTGGTTTCTTATCCATAACTTTTGATTGAGAAGTCTGATCGAAAAAGTACGAATTGTTTTGGATTCTACGCACCAAAATGAATAAGAAAAAGTGTTTTCCCGAGAAATATTGGTGCAGTCGATTTTTGGTAAAAAAGGAAGGTTGTACACTGCCTTTTTTTGAGCCCCGAAAAAAAATTGTCTCAGATCGACCCGGGAAAAAAATTTTCTTATAGAATGTGGCCTGTAGAATCCATAATTTCAAACAGTTCCAAGATTGGGCTACTAGTTCCAAAGTTACAGCCCTTTGAATTTTTTTTTCGAAATTGGTTTCTAGTCTATAACTTTTGATTGAGAAGTCTGATCGAAAAAGTACGAATTGTTTTGGATTCTACGCACCAAAATTAATAAAAAAAAGTGTTTTCCCGAGAAATTTTGGTGCAGTTGATTTTTGGTAAAAAAGGAAGGTTATACACTGCCTTTTTTTGAGGCCCGAAAAAAAATTGTCTCAGATCGACCATAATTTAAGTAATTTAAGTGGGGACTTACATCCCAAGTAACAATAATGCTTTATAACTAGGGAATAGGTGAACTGTGAACACCAAAATTCAGTAACGAGCATTCCTTTGTGAATAGCGAAAAAATTATTTGAAAATTACAGTTTGGAAGGGTCAGACGATTTATTTAAGTAGATTTTTACCCGGATAATTCATCACCATTAACCTCAAATAGTGAGGTTGAATATTCACGTAAGTAGGGTTTTCACAGGACATGTCCTGTTTTTTTTGGGTTTCCTGAGGTATCCTGGGTAGTTCTTAAGTAGCATCCTGGGGGTTTTAAAACGCCATGTTAAGATCCTGTGTTTTAAAATGATTTACTCATTACATTAACACTAACTAAGAAATCCACACAGAAGAACAATTTTTTTCGCCCAAATTTTGGTTTTATACCGACATTTTAAATTAAATTCTAATTTTTTTCGATACACTACTTCCCAATCTTGGCGTATCCAAACGAAATGTCCTGGTACTTTTACCTTCAAATCCTGGATTTCAAAATTTGGTAATGGCAACTCTAACGGGGTTATAGTACTAGCGGTATACCAAAAGATACTGCATTTTCTTATACCAAGGTGCCACTTGGTACAGCTGTTCCTTAGAGCCATTTAGACGATTTGGCCCGAAGAACACTTGACATTTTCCGTGTGGGTAGATTTTAGAGGGGGTGGGGGTGATTTATTGTAACAATTTTTTAAAAACTAAATATGGCATAGAGACGAGATCTGGGTGTCGATTGCGTATGATTTTAACCCGAGGAATCCAATGGTAGCGCCAGAAATGTAATCCGGATACAGGAAGTCCGTGAAAAGCCGCCATTTTTAGAAAATGACAGACTTTTGATCGAATTATTTTTCTAAGGCACACCGGGTCGTGTAAGGTGTCTAGAGTTATGTTTTTGGGGTCAGGGAATTCATTTATGATAACAAAAATAACCTACTGGCATCGGAACTGCATGAGAGGCTTCCCTACTGCATTTTTTGAAGACGTCGCACGCGGTGAAACCCAAGATATTCCAATGTTTTAATACCTATATAAATTTGTAATATTTTATTTAATAAAAATACACATTAACAAAACATAAAATATATTAAAACATGGGGTAAAAAATTTTTAAGCCTATGAAGGATCACCAAGTACATCGCTGACCTCCTTTGAGATTGCGTTATCACCACTGAAAAGGAATTGTACAAAGTGGCACCTTAGTATAAAAAAATGCAGTATCTTTCAAGAATTTCCGTTATACCGCTAGTACTATTACGGATAGATCAAACATTCCCATAATGAGTGTGTTTGTTACACGCAATAAGTACAAGTGTGCAAAAAGATCTAAAAAGGAAAGTTTCTCCCAAAAGTTTCACTTCTTCTGTGGAAGGGCCGCTCTCAAGAAAGTTTACTGTTTGTGAGTGCACAGGACTCTGTAACACTAAGCAGTGTGGGTGCAATAAAGAGCCCTGGGTTCCTTGCACAAAGTTGGTCAAATGTAAAGCGAAGTGCATGAATGGGACAGGTGAGGATGATGAGTAAAAAAAGTATTAATGTCAATTTAATCTACTAAATGAATATCCTAAATACCCGTTCAAAATGTTTTTGAGCATTTAAACGTGGTCTGAATCCCCTCAAACATAGAACAGCATTTAATACACATTTCCACCTAATTTTTAGCGCATTTTTGAAAAAAAATACGCTATTATATTCATTATGGCTGGCAGGCCGGCTGTCCGCGTGAGATCTCCACAACTACAATAGCTAGAGAATTCAAATTTTCACTAAAAGCTTTCTGCTATAGTGTAGATGTGCAGGCACTAGTCTATTTTGAGTTAGATTACTTGTGAGATCGATAATTGAAGAAAATAATTTCGATTTGGGTTTCGGAGGTGCTATAATTTTACCGTTAGATAGCGCTACCAGTATAAAAACTTATTATTTACCTTGTGATTTGTTTTACAAAATGAAGACGTACCCTCAATTGAAATTAAATAAATTTAATTATTTAACGCAGCCAAAATTACTCGTGAGATCGATAATTTTAAACTTCGCTAATAAAATACTGACCTGCATTACCAAAAATGCGCTTTAATCATGCATATATGCTGATTTACAACTTGTTTTTATTTTTGGAGAATTTTCGTTAAAATATGGCCTTTTAATGGTGTTTTAATGCATTTTATATACAGCAAAAAGAAAATATTAGCGTCGGGGGACATTAAATGAAGAAATACCGCACAGTCCTCTTTAAAGAATGGGTAATATAGTCCTGACATATTGTATAATATTAACCGACTTGCGTACAACTGTATTGTTATTAGCGGTAGTAAATTATTATTATTATATTATTATTATTACTATTGTAGCGAATATTCCAGACATCCCGATAGACATCGTAGCGCCATGGAAGATTAGTAATCGACGCGACTATAAGGAATGCGGAGGCATTCCTTCGTTGAAGTATAATACAATGTTCTAGACCTCTCCAGATATATAAGCAAATTGTAGCGTATATCAGTTCAGTTCCAATTTCAACGCCGAAGTAATAAATAGTTTGCGCGGTTATAAATTGCGTATTTGTGCGTGATTAATAATATTTTACTGTTATAAATTAATTCAATTCAAAACTATTATAAATTTATTGTTAATTGTAAACAAATAATGGCCGTTTGCACCGACAAATTTAAGCGGAGCTTAGCTTAAGCGTAGCTTAAAATCCATGGCAACGATTATTGAGACAATGGTTGTCATGCATTTTAAGCTACGCTTAAGCTAAGCTCCGCTTAAATTTGTCGGTGCAAACGGCCATAAATCACGTAATTAAGTTTACGTTACAATATGATCTTGGTTGTAAGTACCTACCGTGTACTCTGCCTATATTTTCATTTCATTTACTCTGCCATCAATAATGAAAAAATTCCACACAACACTTTATCAATGAATTGAATTTAAAAAACCATGGACTCTTTCGTAGTAAAAAATTCATTATAATTTGTCGAAAAGGTTATCTTTGGTCTCAATTAAAGAAATCTAATGAGC